AAACAATTTATTGAAGTTAATGAATTTAATTTGAAAATGGAATCTTTGAGAGGCGAGGTTGACTGTTTGAAACTTCAAAGAGTCAGCGCCGCCTCCAAAGAATAAACAGTTAACTGACATCCTGTCAGAGCGAGGGCAGGTGTTGCTATCTGGGTTAACAACTGTCGAATGGAAAATGCTGAAGTGTGAAAACTCGCTCACAATTATTTGAAAGGTGTTGCTATTGTGTAAAAAGAAAAATGTTTAGCTGTGGTTAGGACAAAAGGTTAGACATCCTGTGTTAGCGTTTAGAAAATATAACGTAGATTGAACCTCCTCGCATATATATTTTTGGAGGTGTGTGTGTATACTCGGCTTGATATTATGTAATGGTATTACTACCTGCTGAAGAGAGGGGTGTGACCAAATGTTAAGTGTAACTTGCATATGACCAATAGGGATGGTTTAGTGAATGCTTTTGCAGAGGAAAAATATTGTACACGCCTTCTCCTATATAATCAACTGTGTTATCAGATTTGTGTTTGCCGCAATTCAGGGTGAAGACTTCTCGCTGTTACTTTTTATACTATTTGCTTATGAGTTATTGTTTTTAATAAAGCGAAACCGTTTTTCTATGGTGATTCGATAAACTTTCTTTTAAACAAGTCTCTGAGTAATTTATTAAGAGTAACCTATTATCTGGATTTATTCATAAATCTCCATACGAGCCCCATAGAGGTCCGAACCTCCGCTGAGCTGATCAGGACAACGTGCTGAGAAGCTTGGAACTCCTATTACACTTCTCATCCATCATAAGAGGTAAGGGCAGTATTTATTTATTGCAGCTGCTTGTGGGGAAAAGATGTGATTATAGGGTTTATTGATTCTTTACATGTGAGATGATATAACAGTCTGAAAAACGAGGTGTGCTCTGATTGGCCAGCTATCCAGTGCGTTGTGATTTGCCGAATACCTCAAGCGTGTGACGGAAATGTTACGCCCCTCACCATACTGTGATGCCGTGTCCGGCCGGAGCGACGAGACAAAAACATTAAAACCCATTACAAACAAGGCATTTGTTGCATCCAGTGGGGACATAATTACTGATTATAATGACTTATACTGTCTTTTTACGCATTGCGTTGCGTATCGCGCTGCGTAAACATAAAACTATGTCTGCATTTGTGATCTGAGAAATGGTAAACAACAAGTGCTACTCTACACTGCTCAAAACTCGCGTTTGAATCATCAGTGGCAAATTCTTTAAATATGAAAACATACTTAAAATCTGTGAGTCAGAACAGCCGGCATTGTAGGCTACTCTCCCACGTTCAGAAAACAGTCCTCCGTAAAACGAATATTTAGTTTGAACTGTTCTGGAACAGTGTTGTAAATACATAAGTATTATATAATGTTTGTTAATGATTTATTAATGAAAGTTATTATAAAGTGTTACCCTATTTATTTATTTTTGTGTATTTAGACCTGACTCTGAACACTATCCAATAGATTATTGCAAGACTGATTCCCCCTCATCCTCATATAACAATACCAGTTTAAATAGCTGGAACGGTTATAAGTGACTTGAATGTACCTGACGTCGTAAACACCACTTCCCAACTTGTAAATACAAACTTCCCAGGAGTTTTTGGCTACTTTGTAGTTTTACTGAGTATCAAAGATATTAGCAAATTTTACTCTCTACTTGACTACATTTTTGAATAAGCATATGTACTCTTTACTCCGTTAAATTTGTAATAAGTAATGCAATTACCAATTACTCATTACATTTTGCATGACACCTAACTTTTTCTGCAGCAGTTTATTTATTGCTAAAAAAAGAAGTGATACTGCCATCTACAGGGCATTGAAGGTACTATATCTTGTGCGCTTTGCCCTTACTCATCCAAACTTGTCAACAAGGCTACTTTACCTGAATGCGAGTACATTAGCAGGTAGTTGTGAATCGCAGGTGTTTCATACATGAGATGAGGACATGGCTGCAGCCAAAACCAGCTCGTCCAGTGCAAGTAGGCTTTGACTATTTAACTTTACTTAACATTATCTTATTTATCTGTCAAACTGAAAATAACTTTTTAAAAGATATTGGTTTACATATGGCCTTTTTGAGCACTTGAGCTTAACTGAGACTTTTGTACTGTGTCTGAGTCATGTCCCAATCTATTACTTCGGGTTCTGGATCTATTTAACATTGTGTGTGATACCCGAGTCAATCAGAGAACAACTGGATGTGATCAAAGTCAGTCAGCGCTGTACAAGTTTCAACTTGTAAAATTAGGATGAGAAAAGTTTGAACTGGGAAATAAGGTGGGGAAAAAAAACAGAAGTGACCCCAGCCATAAGAAGCAGAGCGGGCGGGACAGAGTTAATGCAAGCGCACATTGATAATAACGCCAGCGGCCATGGCACTGACTGAACGAGCAATCATTAAGTTCAAAAAGGGCAAACAGTAGAAGTTATCTTAAATTATGTGAGTTGCAAAACTGCAAAGTCACATTTGTCATCCGACACTGTGACAGCAAGTGGACTTTTGAAGCTGGAAAAATTAGAAGATTAAGCATGCTCTTTCAATCAGCAAGAGAGGAATAACATGGATGGAACTTTCTTGGCAAGGAGGATTGTATGCATCACAGTTAGGTACAAAGGAGAAGGCAACTAACATAAGGTAGAAAAAATGGAATATGTGCCAGTCGGGTCTAGCTTTCAAATAATAGACGGGTTTGTGTAAGTTCTGGGTAGTACATTTATGGCATTTCTAGGTTCTACGCTGGTCCGGATTCAGGTCCAGGTCCAGGTCCAGGTCCAACTTTTAAATAATAGACTGGTCCAGGTCAGTTCTGTGTAGCACATTTACGGGTCTCTTCGGGTTGGGGTTTTTTGGACTCATGAAGATCTTTAGCGGGAGACACCCAGACCTTCCAGGAGAGGTGGGATGTCTGAGTAAGTGATTTTCTCTTTGGCTTTTGTTATGTCCTATTAGGGTGCTGTCACATTAATACCTCATGCACAGATCTAATATACAATCATGCACGCATTCCAGTTTTCTCCTAATAGCTTATGTTCACTTAAGAAATAAAGGCTCCGATATACTTCAAGTAAAATCATTTCAAACAAAATCAGGCCAAAATAATATTTGGGTTTGGGAGTTCGAAACAGCTTGCTAAAGCAAACTTTCGGGCAAAGTTCACTCCAGCTGCAAAACACTTTCATACTACCATTGCTCTGTGGTGATTATGTAATAGGAGTTGTACGCTGAAGCTCCGCCTTCTTTCACACAGATCTCTTCTCTGCTTCTGTTTTCACATTTTTGTTGTGTTTATTTTGTTACTGAGAGGAAAGCATGCATTACATATTTAAAAATTCATCTAAACATTGCACTCATCAGTGTGGGCAGCGTCTCAATGTTCGCTAACAGTATACCGCTGCTCACATATTTCGAACTTTGTTTTACCCCTAAGCGAAGAATGAAAAAGAACTTCGCTGTGAGTATATCGGGGCCTTAACTGCCTGTGTTTATGTAAACATTTTGTGTATTTGACAGTTTAAGCACAACAAGACACGAAAGATAACTTAGTTTAATACTCACACTCTGTTTGAGAGGATTTAGTATGTGTGCTTCGGGTGTACGCACTCAGAAAAGTGCATGTGAACTGAAGTGACGGTGGTAACCTATACTTGGAATTTGTCCTCCGCATTTAACCCAAGTGAGTAGTGAACACACACTGCAAGCTGTGAACACACACACCCGGAGCAGACATTTGCTGCGGTGCCTGGGGAGCAATGAGGGATTAGGTGCCTTGTTCAGGGGCACCTCAGTCATGGATGTTGAGGGTGGAGGTGAGTGCTCTTCAGTGTGCAAATAAAATGTTTGTCTAACAAGGCTTTAACGCATGCAAATAATAAACTTTCATGACTGTGAATAACTGCAATGTCACATGAGTGTAACCCTACCTATGAGTTAACGTGATGTGAATGTACGTCGAGTTGTACAGTATGTTGAAAAGGAAGTGCCAGAACTTTAACTGATAGTATGCACTGTCGCACAATACTACAATGTTTCTTCAAAAGCATATTGTGGAGACATTTTAATCATTCTCAATCAAAAATCTTGATATTGCACATCTCTAACGTGACAGATCACTGTAGCACCCAAGTTCAAGCCACAGCCCGGTGCATGAGTGAACCGGTTATCTTTTCCTCTTTACTACTAGTTATAGCATGAAATAAATATGAATGAATATTAGGATCACTCAATCACCTCAACTCACAGCAGAGAACATATATTTACCTCAGCTAAAACATTAGCTAAAACAAAGTAATTTTAATTATGTCTCAGTTTGTAAAAATAAACAGAAACATTTACAACAATGCTCTTAAATCAGAAGCCTAGCAGGTCAGTGTGACACTCATATTTTTAAACCATTAGTATATAATTTTTAAGTAAGAAATTGTATAATGTTTTAACAGTGATGATTGTTCTCAGTGTTACTTACTCAGCTGATCTAGTTGCTGTAACCACAGGCAGAAGTTTCTGAAGAACTTCATCTGCTGTATTTTGCGCTTTCTGGGTGACAAATGTGTCACTATTTGAAAATAAAAAATAAATAAGAAAATTATTAATGCTAATGCTAGTAATAATAATATTCTAAGTAAATAATACATTAAATACCATCCTTATACCCTCAAATATATAAAAACTGCTTTAAAAGCAACATATGAAAAAATTTTTATCCAACTGTAAAAGCTACTAAGCATTCAGTAAACACAGATTTGTTTTTCTTTTTCATGTCAATGTTGCTGTGGCAGGTCTATTTGTCTGCATTTACACTACAACACTTGGTGCACAAATCTATTTTAACATATCAGATTCTTGTCTCATCCTTAATAAAATTATAGTTGAGCCAACTTAAAAAAATAAGGCAACCTATTGCTTTCAACTTTTTAAATTTAACTCAAATAATTTGCTCCAGTTAAAATCAAAAATACTTTTGTTCATCTGAGTAACAGGTAGTCTTTTGAACTTCTTGTCAAAGTAACTAAAGATTTTTTAGCAATGCAAGTAGCAACAATCCTTATTTTACTTATTATACAACTCCATGTATTATTTTCAAAGCTAGCTACACAACATGAACATCATTTGCCTCTTAAAACTAGAGGCACACATTTCACCCGGGCAAATAAATTGCAAAAGAAAAACATCAACTGTAGCTGCTTGCATTGTTAAATGCTAAACATTCTTTAGATGCCTTGAACAAGAAGCTTTAAAAGACCTTTAAAGACTACCTGCTACTCATTAGATGAACAAAAGTATTTAAGTTGACTTTAACCGAAGTGGATTAGATGAGTTTACTTAAAAAGATGAATGTGAGATGTTGCCTTATTTTTTTTTTAAGTTGTTTATTTATTTTGTTTACAGTGTATGGTTATCATTATGTCAACCATTGCAATTTCACGAATGACTCACAGAAGAATAATTTAGCAGATTCACTCACATAATCAGACATCCCACCTCTCCCAGAAGTCTACTGCATATTGATATTGGGTGCTTCTCAAACAGAAGGGTGCATTCTAGTGAGGTTGTGTCTTTCCTAGTTCAGTCCTTCTGAGGCTTGTAGGCTCAAGTACTCCTCAGCATTAAAAACTAGAATGAGACGCTCTGGGCATGGCTGCTCACTCATGTTCCCGCTCCCACAGTCATGGCACAAAAATACTATTAAAACTTATTTTTGGAAAAATACTTTGTATTAAAAATCTGATAGCACTTTATTTTACAGTCCTGTTCCCCATGTACATACTATGTATTTAGTTTAGTTTATTTTATTTTTTATAAAGCACATTTCTACTGCCTCTAATTGTAACTGAAACAGACCTATTGGAGAGATCCGAATAAAACCAGTGCAAAACCATACCGCTAAGCCCAACCTCCTGCTGTAGACAATCTAAAAGAATGCTGTGATGGATTGTATCAAAGGCAGCGGTTAGATTGAGCAAAATTAAAATAGCAGAGTTACCCAAATCCAAAGTGAGCGAGAGGTCATTTGTTACTGTAAGAAGGGCGGTTTTGGTGCTATGGCGGGCCCTAAACCCAATTGAAATTTATCATGTAGATTATGGTCTGTTAAGAATGTAAAACAGACAATCTTCTCCAACACTTTTGAGAGAAAAGGCATTGTGGATATAGGTCGAAAATTATTAAAATAAGACGGATCTAGATTTGGCTTCTTCAGAAATGGCCTAATCACTGTGTGCTTAAAGCAGGATGGAATAATACCAGTGCTCAATAGCCGCGTTTCCACTGTCGGGCCAAAAGCAGGCGTGCTAGTGCGTGCCAGAGCCAGTCATGTTTCCACTGTCACTTCCAGGGGTTGATCGTGCCTCGTCGGTGCCTCGAGAGTTTAGCTCCACGTATGTCATAAAAATATAATAATGTTTTTTGTTCGGGAGCTTTTATAAAAATATAGAAATGATCATTCTTTCTAAATGTGATGTAGGCTATATACTGTGACTACAAATAAACAGAAACAGACTCGACTGAGTAGGTAGGCTTTGTTCATACCGCTTTATTTCTGTGTGACTAATTTTCAATCCTGATTAATTAATTATGATCACTGTATCACTTATTATTGTAAAACATTGATGCTTTTGGATTTAAATCTTTAACAAAGCATGCAAACAAATGGCTGCTTTTATCATATTCGTTTTGTGATCGCGCTAGTTCCAGTGACTTATTTCTTATTAGTTTTTCTGATAACTTCTCTTTGTTGGTGAAATGGTGGGGTTGCGTGACGTTGTTCCTGAGAGGCGTGTAAAGGGCGGGTTTTAGTGAAGCGCAGCAGAGCTTCTGGCCCGACGGTGGAAACGCAGAGTGATTTTGGCCTCGGTGCTACAGGTCCGAGGCTATTAGCCCCACCCAGCCCATTTAAAGCACTGGCTCGCACTGGCCCGACAGTGGAAAAGCGGCTAATGAGCTATTCATGATAGTCAAAACAGATGGGCCAATCACACCTAACACCTCTCTAAAAAGACGTGTAGGCATAATATTCACTGGTGAGGTAATCGGTTTCAGTTTTGAAATTACCTCTATCAATTTATTAAGATCAATTGGATTAAAATTTGTTTGCTGGATATTATTAGGGACAGGATTGGAAGAATTAGAGGCATGATTTAGAACCTCAATCTTATTCCTAAAACTATCAAAACATTTTACACACAACTCAGGGGTAGCATCTGGATGTGAAGATGCCTTGGGGTTAACCAATTTATTATAGTTTTAAATGGCTATTATAGCCATTTATTATAGTTATTACAACAACTGGGTAATAACTACTGTAGGTACTAACCCAGAATTTACCCCCTAAACAGGGACGTGCACAGACATTTTGAGGGGCAATGGCCGAAATCACTAGGGGTGGGGCAGTTATTGCTCAGCCGTATATATGTGTATATGTATGTATGTATTAGTATATTAGTACATTAGTTCAATCATATTTTTGTCTTTAAGATTTTGTATTTTAAGGGGATTTTTCGGTACTAAATGTTTACTAAATATTTACTCAATTTGCACTTGGTGTAACCACTACATGGCTGTATATCCCTATATTTAAATATATAAACAGGGCCTAGCTGCTGGGAATATTGTTTTCAAACATAATTACTTGTATTAGATTATGTATTTGGATATATACAGTATTTAGACTATTAAAGATTACTTTTTGTAAAAGTTGACATTTAAAGGTTGATTTGAAGTGTCAGTTTTTGCATTATTATTGCGGTCAAATCTGGACACAGGGAATGCATATTGTTACTCATACTAGCTACATATAATAACTTGATCAGTCACACGAAAGTAATCAGATTAAATATTGACTCAGCTACTCAAATATTGACTCAGATCCAGGGTGCTATTCCAAAATATATTACTGAGTGTTTACGTACCATATGAACAGAGACGTGGTCGTTTGAAAAACTCCACATTGCTGTCAGTGATTGACAGATTCAGATTCCAGTAGCTTTATTGGCGTGGTAAAAAGTCTTTACATTGCCAAAGCAATGATAGTGCTCTGATCTAGTGATGTTGAGCATTATCAAATTTTCAGGCGGCAATGGGCAGCGAATCGGGCAGTGATTGACAACGCTCTGATCCAATGGCATTAGGCATTGTCAGATTAACAGTACTCTAGCCCAATGGTGTTGGGGCCCGACGGTGGAAACGCAGAGTGATTTTGGCCTCGGTGCTACAGGTCCGAGGCTATTAGCCCCACCCAGCCCATTTAAAGCACTGGCTCGCACTGGCCCGACAGTGGAAAAGCGGCTAATGAGCTATTCATGATAGTCAAAACAGATGGGCCAATCACACCTAACACCTCTCTAAAAAGACGTGTAGGCATAATATTCACTGGTGAGGTAATCGGTTTCAGTTTTGAAATTACCTCTATCAATTTATTAAGATCAATTGGATTAAAATTTGTTTGCTGGATATTATTAGGGACAGGATTGGAAGAATTAGAGGCATGATTTAGAACCTCAATCTTATTCCTAAAACTATCAAAACATTTTACACACAACTCAGGGGTAGCATCTGGATGTGAAGATGCCTTGGGGTTAACCCATTTATTATAGTTTTAAATGGCTATTATAGCCATTTATTATAGTTATTACAACAACTGGGTAATAACTACTGTAGGTACTAACCCAGAATTTACCCCCTAAACAGGGACGTGCACAGACATTTTGAGGGGCAATGGCCGAAATCACTAGGGGTGGGGCAGTTATTGCTCAGCCGTATATATGTGTATATGTATGTATGTATTAGTATATTAGTACATTAGTTCAATCATATTTTTGTCTTTAAGATTTTGTATTTTAAGGGGATTTTTCGGTACTAAATGTTTACTAAATATTTACTCAATTTGCACTTGGTGTAACCACTACATGGCTGTATATCCCTATATTTAAATATATAAACAGGGCCTAGCTGCTGGGAATATTGTTTTCAAACATAATTACTTGTATTAGATTATGTATTTGGATATATACAGTATTTAGACTATTAAAGATTACTTTTTGTAAAAGTTGACATTTAAAGGTTGATTTGAAGTGTCAGTTTTTGCATTATTATTGCGGTCAAATCTGGACACAGGGAATGCATATTGTTACTCATACTAGCTACATATAATAACTTGATCAGTCACACGAAAGTAATCAGATTAAATATTGACTCAGCTACTCAAATATTGACTCAGATCCAGGGTGCTATTCCAAAATATATTACTGAGTGTTTACGTACCATATGAACAGAGACGTGGTCGTTTGAAAAACTCCACATTGCTGTCAGTGATTGACAGATTCAGATTCCAGTAGCTTTATTGGCGTGGTAAAAAGTCTTTACATTGCCAAAGCAATGATAGTGCTCTGATCTAGTGATGTTGAGCATTATCAAATTTTCAGGCGGCAATGGGCAGCGAATCGGGCAGTGATTGACAACGCTCTGATCCAATGGCATTAGGCATTGTCAGATTAACAGTACTCTAGCCCAATGGTGTTGGGAGGGCCAATCACGTTCAGAGGGGGTGGGAGTGCTGGGGGTTCAAGAGGGGCACCTCAGCCAATGAAGGCAGAGGGGCAGTGGCTCTAGCCACCGGGCCACCCCCCTGTGCCCCGCCCCGCCCCTTAACATAACCTTAACCCATGTAGTAACCTATATTAACCAGTACTTTCTTAGGTAAGTAAACTGTAAGCACACCTAAGTGCACATACTGTAAAATATATAGTACAACCAAAAATCTTTATATTAACTGGCTTTTTTCTTAAAGTAATACAGTGAATGACAAGCGTCTGTGGTCTCCCAGTGGCTTACATTATTGGCAGTTTAGTGTTAAGTGATTAATTCACACCAAAACAAAAGATAACATGTATGCCTTCTCCTCCAAAAACATTACTTTTGTCTTACATTTTATAATGAACTCAGATAAGCTCAGTGCCAGCTTGTTTTCCATCAGTTCATTTTTGTGAATTGGAATATGTGCGCAAAGGATTGTGGGAAACTGAAGAACACAAAGGATACACTTCATGCATCCTTCAAAATGAGCAGAATTAAGGACGCGAAACGTCAAACTTCAAAGGAACGAAACGAAGGCTGCCTTCAAAGGATCCTTCAAATTTAGATGGCCTTCTGCGGCATGTGATGACATAACAGCCGAGATACGCAGCCTTACTTGGACATAGCCTTCTGTTTGAGAAGCACCTGCAAATTGCGTACAATATCCCAGAAAACAATCTGTACCCCACAATTTAAAAACCTCTGATCTTTGTTCATAATGTTTTACACTAATGATTGTTCTCAGTATTACTTACCTATCATGTTCTGCTCCAATTAAGCTCTTCAGCCTAAACTCCTGCATTGTCTGCTCTGAGGTCAACAACACAAAAACTAAAGCTGACCACTGAGATGAGAAGAGTTTCACATGACGTAATCCTCCACGGCTCATACGAGGTTCAGCTTCGTTCATTAGTGAAAGGTCACCCAGTTCATTCAGACAGTGAAACAAATTGATGTATTTATCTGGAGAGGGATTCTCACTGATCTTTTCTCTAATAAAGTGAATTGTTTTCTCATTATTATGAGAGCTGTTTCCTATCTGTGTCATTAGTTCTTGTAAGAGACTCTGATTAGACTCCTCTGACAGACCCAGAAGGAAACGAAGGAAAAGGTCCAGATGCCCATTTTTACTGCCTAAAGCCTCATCCACAGCTCTCTGATGGAGATCAGATAGTGAAACTTTAGTTTGTTTGGTTTGGTCAAACACATTTCTGTTGTGGTTTGTACAGGAGAGGTGCACATATAGAGCTGCTAGATGTTCCTGAATGCTCAGATGAACAAAGCAGAAGACTTTCCCCTGATACAAGCCAAACTCCTCTCTGAAGATCTGAGTGCACAATCCTGAGTACACTGATGCTTCTGTCACATCAATGCCACACTCTCTCAGGTCTTCCTCATAGAAGATCAGGTTGCCTTTCACAAGCTGCTGAAAAGCCACTTTCCCCAGTTTGAGGATCATGTCTTCATCCGTCACCTTCTTCTCATAGTCCTTCTCACGTTTGATGTTGGTCTGAAGGATCAGGAAGTGTGTGTACATTTGAGTGAGAGTCTTGGGAATCTCTCCACTCTCTGCTGGACTCAACATCTTCTCTAGAACAGCGGCTGAGATCCAGCAGAACACTGGGATGTGGCACATGATGTAGAGGCTCCTTGATGACTTCAGGTGTGAGATGATTGTATTGGCCAGACTCTGATCACTGATTCTCTTCCTGAAGTATTCCTCCTTCTGTGGCTCATTGAAGCCTCGTACCTCTGTCACTCGATGGACACACTCAGAGGGGACGAGATCAGCTGCTGCTGGTCTGGAGGTGATCCAGATGAGAGCAGAGGGAAGCAGATCTCCTCTGATGAGGTTTGACATCAACAGAGCCACTGATGAAGACTCATTCACGTCAGAAACTTTGGAGTGTTGGGTTTCCCTGCGTCGCTGTTCCCTCATACAGACACTCAAACTTCTTCTTCAGAAGCGTTTTGAGGACTTCAGTATGTTTAGAGTCACGGCTGTAAGATTAAAATACCAGGTTATTACACAAGTTAGAAAAGTAAATAGCCATAAATTACAAAATGGATTATTTGTTTGCTGTGTTAAGGGTCACAGAACATCATTAGGTTTCTAAAATGTTTCAATTATTAATAATGTGTTTGAGTGATGTGCATTGCAGCACCTAAAATTAAAAGACCTACATTTTACCTGGGGTGTATTCCAGAAAGCACGGTTAACTTACTGTCAGCTAAACCCTGAATTCTCGGTTGATTAAACCCAAACCTTGCTTACTCGAGGTATGTGGTTCCAAAAACGCATCCGGGAGTAAGTTCATTCAACTCCGAGTATGTTCCTGGTTAAGACTCAAGACATTCTCAACAGAGCGACGAATCGACGAGTCACTATGGAAACGGACGCTAAGAAAAAGCGTGCCACGCTGTTTCTTTCTTCTTGTTTTGTTCAATGGTCGTTTACATGCTTAGTGCATATCGCCACCTAATTGATGGTTGTGCAATAATTTTAATTTTTTACCGTTTAATCTTTAATCCTTGAGAATATGAATTATATTGTTTGTTTGATGCTAATTATATATTAAGTCATATCAGGGGTGAATTCCAGAAAGGAGGTTCAACAAACTCTGAGTTAAAACTTGAACTCTGAGTTGACTTACCCTGAGATTGGAAACTCTGAGTTTTCGGTTTCAGAACAGCTGAACAAAGTTAGTTCAATCCACTCTGAGTAGGTTGACTCTGAGTTTAGCGTGTGCACCACGACTATGAAAAGCCATGATCAATGAAGCTCCGAAATTACGATTCACCATGGCAACAGCTCCCGCCAAAAAGACTTCCGCATACTACGGAATAAGTAACTTTAATTCTAAATTAATGTTATCAGGTGAAAACTGGCAGAAATGTAATTTATTGAACTATTATTCATTTTCATGGTATCCCACGGGCAAACAAAAAAAAGAAAAGAAAAATGTGTCAGCAGAAAAAAAAACCCATAAAAACATAATTCAATCAGGTAAAGCTTCAAGCATGAAATGGGTGTAGGCTAACGTTACATGACTTTGAATGATATTTATTGAATGTCAAATATTTGTAGTGTACATATATTTCAATGTGCAGCAGCTTTTTCCACATAGTCTAATGCTTTTTCACATAAATAAATGTTGCTACAAAGAAAAATGTGTCAGCAGAAAAAAAAACCCATAAAAACATAATTCAATCAGGTAAAGCTTCAAGTGTAATAGGTTCATGGGTGTAGACATGACTTTACAAAGTTTTGACATATTCAATAAATATCCTTCAGTATATATTTCAATGTGCAGCAGCCTAATGCTTTTTCACTAATGCTTTTTCACATAAATAAATGTTGCTACATTTCATAATTAGGGTAATGAAAAACATTTAACTTCTATTCAGAAGCCAACAGCAAGAAGGCAGAGACTCGTAACATGGGGGAAGAACCTGCACCAGCATCACTGAGAGATGAAGAGGAGATGGCCACAATACCAATATTAAAATCCAACAGGGAAAAAAATCATCTGTTGCTTTTGTATTTGTAGAACATAAAGATGACCAAATAAACTGTGAATAATTTGTGTTTATTTAACAGCTGTGGTGGTGGTTACGGCATAGATATCTCACACTACCCCTCTATCTGGCATCCTTCCATTCCATACAGTAATCAGCTTCATTTTCGGAAGGTGCGATGGTGAAAATATGTTTGTAATCAATGCATCCAACCACAATGGAAATCCTTAAGGAAATTCTAATTATTAGGTTACTTAAAGGTTGCAACCAGATGTTATCAAGTGAACGCCATTTAAAAAATGGTACCGTTCAAATAAATATGCATGTCGATATGGCAAAATAAATAAATAAAATTAAATTAAATCCTCTCCTGAAGTAAATGTAACTCCCCGCGAATTAATGCAGCCTCCTCATCTACAGGATCCCTTATATAAAGACATGCCATTTGTCACATTTACAGTGTCTGTATGATGAAAATGAAAGTGGTCCGGTGAGAAAAATAATCTTGTTTCCATTTTCATTTCATTTCGCTGGCAATTCATTTTACTTGTTTACCCCAGGAAACAAGACTAAATATCATATATATTTTTTATTATATAGAATGCATCATGATTTAGGAATTTTTTGATATTTGTATTTGAAATAAGGCAAAATCAGTGTCTTGAAATAAGGCAAAAATCTCAGCAATAAAAGCAATTTTT